TACCCTCAACCTGGAGTTTGACTGGAGTTTGACCAGGAGGCAGGGCTGGTCTGACAACCTCCTGAGTCCCCTTACCCCCCACCCCCTCAAACAAGCCGATCATGGCGGGTGGTCTGGCCAGACCCCACCCGTGCAAGAAATGGTGTGCCGGGCCTCTAGTCTAAGTATAAAGTGTTATCTTATGGGGTGTCAACTAATAGAGAATTGGAAAAAGTCTCTGGTTTGAACTTTCTGAAGACTCCCATGCTACTCTACAGCAACAGATCACCATAGGAGCAGCTGCCTCTTGCATAACCAGGAAGTCCTCTGCTGAATGGAAATGCAAGGGCTTTAAGAACCTTGCCCACATTCTTTGATCCATCTAGAACTGCCTCTTGCCACCTACAAATGTAGTGAATGGCTAGCATGACTGCAGACAAAGCACCTTACTCTGTAGTCATTTTTACAAGCAAAAGAGCAAAGTGTGGTCTCTGCCTCACTTTCACCTTCCAAATCTTATGAAAGTGTTTCTGAGTGGCCAAATCTAAGTTACATCCAGTGCCCTAGCTGCAAGGGAGTCTGGGAAATGTAGTTTCTTGGTTTCTGGCCTCTGTTTCAGGAGGGCACTGGTTGGGGTGAATGTGGATGCTGATCTGCCATAAATAACATCCATATGGGGAAAATAAGTATACATATATTGTAGAGTTGTTGTGATAATTAAAAGAAATAATAAATATAAAGTTAGAACAATGCCTGGCATGTGAAAGACTCAATAAATGTAACTATTCTCATCAGCTTCTCAGAGAGTTGTCCAGGTCAAAGTCAAACCACTTAGATACAGTCCAATTTTTCACCTGCTAATAAGTAACTTTGATGAGCCTACTTATAATAAAAGCACTAGTTTCCTCATCAATCATTGAGGGTAATAATTACTCTCTACCTTATAGAGTTTCTGCTTATATTACACTAGGTTATGTGTGAAAGATGATTTGAAAATTTTAGCAAACACTCCAATCGCTTGTGTGCTAACTGGGTAGGAGGTGAATTGGAGAGCTACAGTCACCTGCTCAAATTCCAGCTCTGTCCCTGAGACCAGCAGTCAGCTTCCTGTAGTTTTATCTTATTCATTCGCACACCATTTTTCCTCCCTTTAATTTTCAGAATTAGCTAGGGAAATCACACAACTTCCACGCATGCCCATGAGGACAGTAAGGCTCAGGTGCCACCATAACCACCTCTTTCAAGAGGGGAGATGAGGCCTTACCCGGGTCGTCTGTGCTTCCCACCCCTGAGTTCTTTCCAGAAGACCCTCTGCCCTCTTTACCCCAGTTACTCAACTGGCGGGCCATGTGAGAAGGCCCAACCTCAGGAAGAGACAGGTGGCTCCAGCGTGAACACTGTAACGTACTCTCCCCAGGGAGAGAAATTCCGAGAGTTTAGCTCATTCTTTCCTGCCATAAAGCACACTGAATGTTAACAGCTTGCTCCTGTCCAAGCTGGTGTTTTTTAAATTAAGTATTGTTAAATCCATACCATTTGGAATGATGCTTCAGACAGCCCTGACACTCTTGCTTCTGCTTTCATTTCACCTAATATATTGTGCAGGGAGCCGGTAACCAGTATTACAGCAGCCGGGTTTGCTGCTGCCGCTGCTGCTGCTGCTCAGACACTGGCAGACGGCTTTAATTTAGATACCTGAAGAGGAAAAAAGGAACTCGGCCAACGCCCTGCTCACATGCCATAAGAGGCCTTTCCCAGGCTGCCGTTAGCATGGAGCTAGATTACCTAGGATTTGATGTTATTTTTCCTCGGCTCTGATAAAGGTTTTAGAAATGACGAAGAGAGGAGACAGAGAAGTTATACACTAATATGAGATACTTTCCATTGTCAGGTAGTGTGGACCTATAGTAAACCTGGGTAGCCTGCCTCCTGCCCCCTTGCCTTCACTATAAACAATCCCCTCCAACCACTATGACACCACTACCAACACACACACACACACACACACACACACACTCACACTCACACTCACACACATGCATGGATGCGTACATATAAATGATGAGAGAGAGTAAAAGTCAGAAGACCTCTTTCAAAGGCCAGTTCTAGCCGGTGGAGCCCTGACAAGTCACTTCACCTCTTAGAGCCTCAGTTTTCACATAAAATGGGGTGAGTTACTTAACTAACTTCACAGAGTAGTCATAAAGGTCAAATGAGATGCGGGTGTAAAATCATTTTGTAAACTTTAAAGATATCACATAAACTTCACTAGTTATCAAAATTCACCATACCAGAAATTCACCTCCATCACCCTAACACTTGTTGGTTTTGTTCTCCTATTTCTGAAGTTACAGTAAGTTTGTTTGCCCTAGAATGCGTAATGCTTGACTGTGCAATTGCTTTTCCTCATTTCTAGGGGCATCCCCCAACCAGAAAGGAAATGCTACAAGCATAGGGACCAGAAGCATGAGACACTGTGGTGGGCATCCTCCTGACAGTCAAGAAATGATTTAGAGCTTGACTTAAAAAATATTCTACTATAAAGTGAGGGTTGTGGTGACTGTCTTGCTGTACATTGACATGTCCATCAAAGCCTAAAGAAATCTCTGACTCGACCATCTAGACAATATTTATTTCCAAAGCAGGAAGGAATCTAGACTAGCATATAAGTGGCTACCAGTTATTCTCTTATCATACCAATTTTTTCTATTATTCTACAAATGGTATTGTACCATTACCATTTTTGCTATTATTCCTTCTCCACCACCTCTTCTGCCCTATTGACCTGCCTCATGAGTGAAGTTTAGTTGTGAGGAGGGAGATAAAATATTCCTTTTTTTTTTTTTTTTGCAGAACTAGTTGGAACTCTACAGCTAGTAACTGATAGAAGAAAAAAGCCGGTGGCAGAAAGCTCTAATGTGTAAAAGAGAGAGATGTAACATAGCTTCATAAATGAAAGGTTATTTCAATCAATCCATTTTTAATATGATAAAGACTTCAGATCACACCATTCAAGTATTTTTACAGTTACTCATGAATACTCTTCAGCTTATGAGCCTTCACCAATTTTTGAAAGACTCGCGAAATGAATCTTTGTGAAAGAGAAAAGCACACTTTAGGAACAGAGCCTCTGAGGTATGGATTAGTACTACCCATTTTCCTAGGTGAAGAGAAGGGGAATCCTTGTATGCCCTTGACTTTCCTCATAGGTTAAAAATGGGAATTTTAAAGCTCTGCTGTCTTTAATTGATATATCATAGGAAAAGCCAGTAGCCTGAAGTTGAACAACCTGCTTTTCCTCACCTTTCTGCAAAGCAACACTGCAGATCTGTATATAGGCAGACCTGCCTGTATTCACATGCCTACTATGGCTTCATCAGGTTTTCCATATTTGTGTGTTTCATGCCTCTTGTCGGTATTTTTTTTTTATTAACGAAAGGAAAGAACATTAGTCCTAAGTGTCTTCTGCCATATATATATATATATATATACAGCCTATCAAGAGATCTACAAAGGAAAAGCTTCCTGGCGACACACCTATGGGAATGTAAGGCCAAGTTTGCTATTTCATTCTTTCAAAAACCCAGTGATTTCCTTAGCAGATAAGGAGAAAGACGTCCTTGTTGGACACTTGACACTTTCCTAAAACTGTAATAAAATCCCCTCTGGTAGAGTGAAATCTTGCTTGCTGGTAGATTAACAGGACTCAGAAGCTTCCTGCCCTTCCCTTGGCCTTGTCATCATTTCACTGCTTGTTAGCACTTCCTCCAGGCTGGGCTGGACCTGGAGGGTCATCTCTCCATCCACTGCAGGAGGGAGAGGAAAAGGAAGCAAAACTCACTTCAGCCTTTTCTGCTGTGTTACAGCAGCTCTGATGAAGGACACGAAGGAGGAGACTGAAACTGTCGGTTAAAAGGTTTGGGGATTAACTGAGGATTTAATTCATCCTTTTTTTCTCTCCCCTCCTAATGCAGACAGTTGAGAGTTGGCCATGTGTCAAAATCAGGCTGTTCTTCAACCTCAAATTTCAGTGCCAGTCATCCCTGCCTTTGTTAAGGTCTTCTTTTTAAACGAGTGGATCTAAATTTCTAATTGTGCCTTCAGCCTTAGTAAATCTTGGGTGTTTAAGATTGTCACTTTACAAAGAATCAGCTTCCTTTTTTTTTTTTTTTTTTTTTTAGATCAAGTCATTAATACACTAAGTAACTTATGCCACTATTTAGGTTTAGGGAGTAACTTTCAAAAATTTATATAGTCTCCCTTCTCCAAGTCAAGGGGAAAAATAAAGAGCAACTTTATGGAAGAGGAATAAAGCTGTTGTACAGCACACATTTAAAGGGCACATTAAGTCAGGTTTTGTCTATGATTCTCTCCCTTTATGGCATATGTTATATATTGACAGGGATTAAGTTTCTCTCCTGAATGGAACAATACAGAGTCACAGGGAGCTACTGTACTTTACAAAGCCACGGGCATCAGCACAAGCAAATGGCAAAACAGAAACGTATCTCACAAAGAACTAACCAGGTTAGTTCATAGCACAGGGCTTGGCTTCATCGTCTGCAGTTCTGCATCTTTTGCATTTCTCTCCTGGCTCTGCTGCGCGCTCTGCTCTCCTTTCTTTTTCGTCCTTTTCCCCTTCTTTTTTTGCTCGCACTGTTACACTTTCTCTGTCCCCCTGGCTTTGTTATTCAGCATGTCTGATTAGCAGGAGCCTGATTGGCTGGCTGCCTGCTCCGAGAGAGATTCCATTCAGCTTACCCCCCACCCATCCACCTACCCACCCACCCCTAGTCAGGAAATGTGAGCGGGGCTGATGGAAGCTGATAGGCAGGGCTGGAGTGTTAGCACCGGGACTGGATGTGACAGCAGGCAGAGGAGCACTTAGCAGCTTATTCAGTGTCCGATCCGGATTCCGGCAAGGATCCAAGCATGGAATGCTGCCGTCGGGCAACTCCTGGCACACCGCTCCTCTTTCTGGCTTTCCTGCTCCTGGTAAATGCCTTTTCCTTTTTATACATTGCTATTGCCATTTAGTCTGGGTGCTGTTGGGGTGCCGTGTATGTGTGTGTGTGTGTGTGGAGGGGGGAGGTATATCTTGATCTTCAAACGCCAGGTAAAATAATTTACGTGCTTAAAAAAAAAATTCTTTCAGAACTTTAACCCCAACTTCTCAAGCAAAATAAAGTCTTCCAGACGTTGTGGGATCAGTGAGAGGTCTATAATATTATCGAGACACGAACTTTGGGATAGACTGCACAGAGTTTGCGAGCTGGGGACTGTATAAATGATGGTGCGTATGCTTGGAATTTGGATGACAGGCGTCGTCAGATCACTCACTCACTGCTGTGTTCCTGGAATTTTTTTGAAGGATGGGCTATGAGGGGCTTTCCCCCACTGCCGTTAGGAACTCTTTTCCCTCTGTGAGCATGTGCTGCGGAACCAGGTAAAAGAGGGAATGAGCGCCTCTTTGCAGCCAACCCAGATTATAGCTCATAATTACTCCAAGTCATGTATGGATACAAGTTAATGCTGCTATTTATGAATTGAGGATTATGGTCTTTGATCTCAGATCTGCTTTTGAAGAAGAAGAAAATGCTGACTTTCCGTACGGCTGCTCTCCATAGTCGCGGTGATAAGATGCTCTGCTCTGGAACATCCGCACACTCTGCATTTTTGACTCAAAGTAAATGTTCCATTGTGACTCATACTTGGTTTTATGGGCAGAAAATGAACATTTACTGTCCAAAAAAAATCTACACTCAAAATATTAATAGCAATGCACATTTTTTAAACCAGAGTGTTCTGGGCAGGCAGCTTAGTAAACCTCATCTGAAGGTTTCATTCCAAAATTTGCACACACTGATTCCAAACGAACGTGATTGTAGCTCTCCCTGTGACATTTATGGATGCCCACACTTCCTCAGGAGGCAACAAGGCCAGGGGGGGACAAGGTACACAGGCAGCGGATTATGTAGGTTGCATTGATTCGTCAATGGTGAAGGACTGTTTTGTTCTGATTACACTCTGACAAATTTGATCTGCACTATAATTATGAAGAAGGGAAGTAAGCCATTTGGTACAAATTGAAGATTCATCAGATAGAGTAATCAGACAGTGATTAACAATTTTATACATTTCCACTTATTTGCATCATTGTCGGCAAGAAATCATAATGCTACATTGCAAAGGCTGTAAATATAGAAATGTATTTTTAAGATTTCTTGAAAATTTAAAGGAGAACTGAATTTTAGGCATGAATGGACTGAAGTTTTCGCTGTTTGGGGGAATATAAAAAGCAGAATGCCTAGGTGTGCTTTATGACTACTGAAGCAAGCAATTTATGAAAGGTGTCTCATTTTTTCCATATGGGATGTGTTACTTACATACACACCATTAGGTTGCCTCATCTTTTTTTTTTTCTTTGTGATTTTTTAAAAGTATGTGTTATGTTCCCATCTAATTATATCATAAAGCAAATTACCAGTACACATTACTGTTTTGGTATCTTCCATATGAAGTATGATCTCATTTTACATTGGAAAAAAACTTTCCCATTCAGAAATAGATTGTTTTGCTACCCGTTTGGTAAATGCATTATATCCCTCTTTGATATCTTGACTATTCATATGTGTATTTGAGCACATAATGAGACTTATTTCAGGTTTAAAACATAAAACATATTTTGTTTCAATTACAATAATTGTATTGAGGATAAAATGAAATCAAATCCAGGTTTGTTTCATACCTGTATTTAAATGAACAGGGGTCCTGAGAGTTATGGTAGAAAAAAAAGAGCACTGGCATGTGCCAAGATACGCCCCTGTGCCGGGTACTGTGTGTCTGAAAGGGCCAAACACTAGGCCGGTGGTTTGAAAAGCATTACAAAGCATCCACACAATAAACTTGCAAATAAGACATTTTAAAACCCATTTTAGAGATAAGGAAATAAGCTTATATTTGAGTCCCCAAATCAACACATAACAGAGAGAACATAACTTGTTTGCTTTTTACTGTGGTTATAAATTATGTAGCAATGATGGAATCAATGGCATATGCTGATCTTTGAACTTTGAGATACGTAGGCTTTTTGCATCATCTTGGGCATTAAAGGTGTGTACAATATTATGCACAGTTGTTACATTTGCTCATTAACTGCCCCCTTTAGCTTTGTAGCCAAAATTAAATTACTGGCCTAAGAGAAGGTGACCTTCGGACTGATCTTTAGTTGACTTAGAACTAGAAGTGTGACATTGTCAACTCAACCCTCAGTCTAGATAGAGAAATTGAACTGGTTGCCTTGTATTTTTTTCTGTAGTTCTTTTATACAAGAGTCTGTCTACTCTTAGAATTAATTTAAGCAATTTTGAAAGATCCCTTTAACTTAGTTGGAAAACACTCTGTTTTAGCGGCAAGCCAGTTTCTACTTCAAAACAGCCTTCCTATCACTGGCAGTTGAATCATCCGTATCATGCCTTGCTTCGTGTGTACAAACCTCGAATGTGGTTCACTGAAGCCCTTTTTATCTGGAGCATTGTTCCTGAGAGAATGCAGTCCTTGTGTCTATTGTATCTCGTTTAGGTTACCACCCATACTTTCATGCAAAGCTCATACACCATAGACTTAATTTTTATTCTGGACACAATAGGACAGTAGTACTGACCAAAAGGTTTTCATCCTGATATTCAGGTCAAATGAAGCCACATAACCCAACTTTCCACATCTTCCCACCCTGCTTTCCTTTTTCATTCTCCTTTTCTTTTTTGTCCCAATTGTTTAGCTCAAAAGGAATGTGCCAGAAACCATGACCAGCCATTGACATGTGTGTCCATCCAAACTTGAAGTCAAATCACTTCTTGTCAGAAAGGCATTTAACCAAATTTGCATTTGCTTTTTGTTTCTTTTAAGTGGTTTTAAGCTCTTTTGCCTGCTATTGTGGGAGTTGCAAGAGTAACACTCAGAATTATAATAAAGTACATGTGTTTTCCTGTTGAATTTCTTTTTCTTCTCTGCACTAATTTATACATGGAAACTAGTCAAACACAATAGCCATTCCCTTTAGTCACTCTGGCACTCTCCTCCACTATTATCTAAGTGGATCTATCTTGGATGGCTAGAAGCACCATTAGTTTGTGGAATGAATGTTAAATCCCTTATTTACAGCAGACTGTGGTCTGCTCCAATAAGAGGTGTGTGTGTGTGTGTGTGTGTGTGTGTGTGTGTGTGTGTGTGTGCACAAACACCTTTTTATATATATTGTTTATTATCATGTCTAGATTGTCTTTAAATCAAACTTAAGGATTTTTTTACATAAATCTGCAAAACAGTGAGGCATTTCTTTTAACATTATTTTCTTCGTGTTTTTGCAAAGTTTCTTGTCTAGACATGGTCAGCTGCATTTTTGTTTTCTCAGGCTTCTGTTTTTAGTGTCTGGTCTGTTCAGGACCACTTGTCTCCGTTATTATTTTCATGTGAACCAGTTCTATTGCTTTATATAAATTGAGGCAAGTATGTCCAATAGTGGTCACTAGTGAACTACAAAAGAATCCTATTACACCAGGAATTTCCTTCCTTGAAAAACGACATGGATTTTGAAGACTTGTGAGAGAATGAATAAATGAATGTCTCCCTGCATTTCAGTAAGTGTTAACACATATTGATTCCCCTTATCAATATGCATGACTAAGCTAGAAAGCACTTCTCTAGCATGTCATGGGGCAGGCTGTTACTCAAACTTAGGAGCAGCACAAACTTTATCCTTATATCCTGATAACAAAATTGAAGGAGATTTAATTCGTGCCATTTTAATCAGTAAAGTGTGGTTAACCCTTAGACTTGGAACTCATTTTTTTAACCCAGTTTACATTGGTGCATTTGGCACAGGATTTATATTTGGATGAGACATGATCTGGTGTTTTGATTCTCCCCTTTATAATAGCTTAATCAAAATATAATTCAAAGCTATTTCAGGAAAAGATACAGTGTCCTGTGAATTTCTGCATTTTCTGCAACAACTAGTAGAGTATCTCGTGTATATATAGGCATCATGACTGTTGTTGAACTCAATTAAGAGAAGAAAGAACTTACAGAGACTATCACACAGCTCTCTAATTCTCCACACACATATTTGGTGTTTTCTAACTTGATATGTATAGTTCAGTTTCTTTGGTCCAGTGACAACTCTGCTTTGAATGTGTCTATTTCAGGTTCCAGGGCTGATTATTTAAGTTTCTCCCATCTAATTATTTAAGTTTTATTCTACCCTCCCCTCATTATACATAGTATATGGGTTCCTGTGTTCTCATGAGCAGGGTGACTCAAAAGAGACCTCTTCATAGCATGAAAATCACAGTCTTTTTTTTAGTGAGAGCATTCCTTGAATCATCATGAGTAACCTACTGGTTAATTGTGATGAGATAATGGCAGGAAAATGTGTCTAAATTAAGTTTTGCAGTCTTGCCATTTTCACTAACTTTTTTTCTTCTAAAGAGCCAGCTTCAGACTTTATGTTTTCACCAGAATGAGACAAGTCCATGTCATTTTCTGTCTACACCATAACAACCATACCATGTGGTTGAATTTCGGCTTGATTGGCAGTACTGGCTCATGAGCGGCTTAGGACTGGCATACCAGGGTGATCTCAGTCCTAAAGGATCCTAATTGAAATAGGCCAGCACAGCTGTGTGGGGAGCCTGCCTGCTAACTGGGGTGAGCTGTCGCTATCAACCCCTTCTTTCCATGAGCTCAAAAATAAATGACTAAACCTCCCCCAATTCCCGAACTTCAAGCCTGAAACCTACATTGAATAAAGCTTAACTGTTCTGGTTTCCCCTCCCCAGGACTTTGCTAACTGGAGTACCCAGCATGTAAGCCCATGAGACATTTTCTGGCCATGTCATGAAGATGTCCTGACGGTAGTAGTCTGTAGCCAGCAATGACCTCTGGCTTTTTATTTGTTGTGTTTCCAGAAGCTCAGTATTTATAAATCAGTTGGGATATTTTCCTATATTTATTAATAGTCTCTATTTCAGTCATAGAAATAGATCTTATCTCATTTAACCTTCATTAGAAGAAGTACTGTAATTTCTCTATTTGATTACCCCCACCCCAAATTCCACCAATATTTAGCTACATGTATAGGCAGCATTTAATAATTGTTTTTCAGAGGCATAAATACTTCATTGTATTCTCCATAATATTTTTAATTGTAACTTCTTGTTCTTGTGCTTCCTTGCATTTATCGCTGACTTTCTGAATCTCATATTGTGCTTACATGCCTGTCTACTCCACAAAGATGTGGGGGACAACAGAAGGAATGACTGGTTCCTCCCACTCCTCTCAGGAGATCTGGTCATTAGATCCCAATAAATTTATTTTTAATGAATGAATGGATGGATGAGTAAGAATGACTTGGCAAAAGAAGGTGAAAAGAAAAGAAAATACTTGTAAAAAGGGAAAATGTGAACACCCATCTCACAATATGAAGCATTTCACTAATTCTGATGTTGGTAGGACCAAGTCAACAATCCTAATAAATTTCAAGGTGAAGACATCTATTTTGTTTTTCTCTCTCTCTTAAACACATACATCCACACAATGAATAGCAATTGAACAAGAATCTCTTCTGCTGTTGTTAATTAGAACGAATTTTGCATGTTTCATATCTTTTATAATTCATTTAGTTTTCAAGTATATTTTTTAAGAAGTTGATCCTCAGGAAGAAAATGACATTTACATTAGCCACAGTTTTATAAAATTGGAAGGTAGTTATAAACTCTAATTTTAGCAGAGATAATGCTATGGAGTTACAAAAACTCATTTCTTTTTACTACTTGGCACAGGATAAACTGTATTTTCTAGCCTTCTCTGTGAGTGGATGGAGCAATATGATTGAGTTCTGGCCTACGGATTATAGTTAGACATGAAATGTGGCACTTCTAGGCCTGGCATCTCTCATGTAACCCTCTAAGCACCAAACACTCTCTTTTCCTGCCTGCTGGATGCCGAGAATTCAGTAAAGAACTTCAAGAGAGTAGGGAATGGCAAAGCCACCAAATCGAAAGCCTCAGTCCCTGAATGACTACATGGAGCAGAACCCCAACCCACCACCCTCATAGAGGCACATCTATGAACATTCATTTAACCATGAGCAAGAAATAGACCTTTGTTGTGTTAAAACACTGAGAATTTCGGGTAGGTGTTATTTATTAAACTAAAAACCTTTTCAATTAACATATGCTTCTAATTTAGATGATAAGCAGGCTAGTACTCATTGATATGTAAGTACTGATACTACTTTCAATACATTAGGCAGGAAAATTGAAATAAGATGCCAAGTTATCCTAATGGCAATTCAATCTGTGTAGCTTGCACCTTATCACAGACCCAGAATGTGCTGAGTACTGGGGGCTGTATATGTGCCAGTACTGCAGGAAAAACAGGAAAAATGGGTTCACATCCATTTTTTAAACATAGGGTCCAGGAGCAAGTGGAGCAGTAATAAATGAAGAGAGGAACCAAGAGAGCAGGACTGTGGTAAACAGTTGGAGTCTGGACTCCTGGCATCTCTCATGTAACCAGCAGAGCAGGACCAACCAACCTGGTCAAGGACACAGAACCACACAGACCCAGGGGGCAGTCAAAGGAAACAAGAAAAGATACCAAGAGGCAAACACAAGCCCAACACCAAAGCAGTTCCAGAGGCAGATGTCAGAAACTCAAGGAGTGAACATGGACAGAGAGGAAAACAGACTCACACCCAAAGAAAGCAAATGTTTCACATAGCAGCATGTGAAGTAAAATGTACTTTTGAAGTATACTTAGTCTCAAACTATCTTTGGTACATTTTTCTAGAGGTCACACTAATTTTAATGTGTAACCATCTGGGCTGTAGCACTGATTCCATCTCTATGATCCAGTCACATAACTCACTCCAACTTCTGTCCACTCATCACGCACTGTTGCCCATCCCACCGAACTCTCCAGGGTGTTGTGAGAGGCAAATCAGCATTAGATGTTGAAGGTTTTGTAAACTTCAAAGTACTGTAAAACTTAAAGTGATTAATTCATGTAAAAATCATTTCTCTGTCACCGGCTGTATACCCAACACAAAGTCAAGCTCCATGGAAGATAGATGAAGACACATTCCTTGTAACTGGGCATTGAGTTGTCAGAGTTATTTTTTAAATATTTCAAAAAACTCTTCCATAGGCAGTGGTCCTATGATGAATATTATTATTTTCAGTTGTCCCTCAAAAAAGCTCATCTAGTAACTTGTCTGTTCCTGCATAGACTCTATCTTTTTTTAATTCTCTTATTCATGTGTAAATGTAAATTAAGGCTTCCTACAGATTACTAATGTGTTATTTTTATGGATATTATCAGTCGCTATTTGACTTCAAACATTATTTTCCCCCAGCTTCCATAGTTCAGAATATCAATTTGTGCAATAGAACACATTAGAATAGTTTATTTTATTATTTTTATTTTTGTGAGTTTATTTGAGCTAAACTTTTAGTCAACAATTTCTGGGAAGCAAAATCTCAACAGATTGAGATAATGCTCCTAGAATAGTTTCTTAGGTAAGATAAATTACTTAGGGAAAAATTATTCGCAAAGCAAATTGTTATCATTGTGAGAATTACCATTAATTATGTGTGACCATTATCTAGAGCAGCGGTTCTCAACCTGTGGGTCGCGACCCCTTTGGGGGTCGAACGACCCTTTCACAGGGGTCACCTAAATACATCCTGCATATCAGATATTTACATTATGATTCATAACAGTAGCAAAATTACAGTTATGAAGTAGCAACGAAAATAATTTTATGGTTGGGGTTCACCACAACATGAGGAACTGTATTAAAGGGTCGTGGCATTAGGAAGGTTGAGAACCACTGATCTAGAGAGTTTCCATCTGTCCCATTGTCATTGGAGCATCGTGCTGGCGGACTTCAATTTAACATAGTTTTCGCTACGTTGTGCGTACTTTGTAATAACTGAACCATGACAAAAGACCAAGCATATTCCATTTGACATTATATTTCTGTGAGTGAAGTTATTATAGTAGGTTGCATCTCCCTTCCTCACGTATATTTTTCTCTAAAGTTCTCATTAAAAATATATTAATTACAATAAAACCCAAAAGGCCTGTGCATGGAAAGGGGGGATAGTGGAGAGAAAGGAAATAGTAGAAAAATCACACGTGTGAGCATACGCCATTTATAATGCAGGAGATTTATTCCACTTCTGAGGCAAGAAATTGCAGGACTCTAATAGTTTCACCACCTGTGAATTATTTGGGTGCACCTCATAAGCGGGTTCTTTCTTCTATTTGTTTAAAGAAATAGGTGGTATGTTCGCCAATTCTACACTACATTAATTTTCACAGAGTTTCCATTTTCATCTTCATTGCTTTTTCAGATTTTTTTCCAAGCCTTCTGCCATTCTTCAACTAAAGCTTTGGGTATTTTCCCCTTCAATTTTTGTCCGGGGACTTTGTCTGAGTCAATTCAGTCTGTTGGCATCCATGTTGGGGCAAAGGAGGGAAGGATTGTGATAGCCCTAGATATCCTGACATAAACTCCAAGAGCCCTAAAGAAATGAGACAGGAAATTATGAGCAACCGATAATCAATTCAAACTGTCCAATAAAATAAATACACCTGACTTTGTTCTCAGAGTAAGGTATGGCAGGGTGTCCGGTTTCTTAGCCTACTTTGCCACCTGTAATCTCAGCCACTATTTGAAGTCTGCCAGAGTATTGTTCAAATATTGTACTTCATCAGTACAACCAGAACTGAAAAAGGGTCATGGAAACTATAAGCACTCCTACTGTTCAGGTGCTGAAGTGAGACTTAGAGGAAAGTTTTTTTTTTTTTTTGGAAATAGTCTGTTTTTTCATTATGTTTGTTATAACCATTGGTCATTCACATCTAATATAATTTCCCTCATGTGCCACACACTTTTACTTTGGGGCTTGTAGCTGGTCTGAGATAACCAACACACATTGAAATTACTGTTACAGAGTTCGTGTAAATGACATTTGGGATCTCGGGACATAGATTCATAGTGTTTTAGAAGTAAACGGCCTATTCGAAGTAGCATAAAATGTGAGTCAGTTGACTGTGATACCTTTGAAGGCAGGAGTTTGGTTTTATTTTTGTCGTGGATCTCTTTATATCCCTAGTACCAGGCAAAAAGTTGAATATGAATAATTTAATTGCCTAGTCCAGCCACTTTCGTTTACAGGTAATTGAATTTAAAATATAAAGAAATTTGAGATGTATTTGCCCGGAACACCTACTAGGTAGGATCCAGATCCTGGAAGCTGTATCTCTTTCCTTGGAGTCCGTACTCCTTTGAACAAAGAGTTTATTATCTTTCTGTTATACTGTGTGGACTCCATAAGAGCCAGGCGAGCTGGCCTTGGTAGAGCAAGGTTGAAATGTTGAAATGTCACACACAGAAGAAACAACGGAACCAACGAAGCTGATGAAAAAATCATCTTGAGTTAAAACTCAGCGATCATTGTTGGTTTATAAACCTCAGAGCGACCTGGCAAAACAGGGGACTGAAGTATGTAAAGCTTGTCTCTCGCCCTTTTGAGCGAACCTTTTAAGCTCAGCATGTCAGCATTTTGAAAAACCCTAACTTAACTCTGGTGCCGTGTCACATATAGAAATTTTTTGATCTTTGCAACCATAGTAAAACAAAGACTTCTATTTTTGATATTTATTTTATATATTTAAATGCCACTTAACAAAGAAAAATCAACCAAAAAAAATGAGTTCGCGTGTCATAGGTTCGCCATCACTGCCCTAGACTGTGCCATGTCAATAGGCTTCATTTCTCTAGCTTTTCATGTCAGTGAAAAATCTTGGTGATAGATATGTGAAAATAACTTCATGCTGGATATTGCACATAATAGGTCGCCAAGAAGTATTCACTTTCTTCCAGCTGTGCAAAATAGCATATTTATTGAGAATCTGCTATGTGTGAGGTACTGAGTATACCATGTTGACTAAAACAGACAGGATTCTAAAGATGGGTCTTTTATTATTAAAAAATATGTTTTTATTAATTTGAGAGAGAGGAAGGGAGAAGCATGGAGAGACAGAAACATTAATCAGCTGCTCCCCACCCCCAGGGGACAAGCTCACAACACAGGCATGTGCCCTGACCGGGAATAGATCCAGTGGCCTCTTGGTTCATGGGTCAATGCTTAACCACTGAGCCACACTGGCTGGGCAAGATGGGTCTTTTCTACATATAATATTCGAAAGCACTTGGGACAGGGGAGGAGAGAAGAGGAGGAATTAATTGGCCAGTACTTTCCATTGGTTTTATGTTGCTGTCATGATATTATTTTCTTTAAACTGTATATTTAAGTATTGCTGATGTAAGGGTTCTCTGCCTAAAGAAATAGACACATTAATTCATTATTTATAGTGATTCAAGAAAGAATGTGTTAGAAAAACTCTAAAACTCTAAAGATTTATATTTAAGGTCACTCCTTCAAGTTATGCCTTTTTTTTTTTTTCAGGAATCCTCTTTTTCAGTAATACTGAAACCTAAGCTTAATGAATGTATTACGTTGTCTCTGTTTATTTGATACTTAAACACCTGTCTTTTCTGTTGTAGTTTGCTTAAGTAGTGAAACCTTTAAACCAGCCCCTCATTCAAGAGAATAAAGGGCCTCGGTAGCCTATGGAACACTAATGGAAGTAGGGTTTTCCTGAAAAGGTTTAGCTCACTCTGTGGAACCATTAGTATGTAGGACTTTTACAATCTCTGAGCATCATCCTGGTCACCCGTCAGCGTGTTCTCAGCTCTCTGCTAGGAGGGACTCTGATTTTCCAACACTTCCGCCAGGTCTCTGTTACTAACCCCAGCCTACCTCAATCCAAGGCAGACGTTATTTCCCCGGAAGTTCCACTTGGCTAACTTCAGCCCAGCTGTGCTGGGACTCACACCAGTGGGACTGTTATGGCTGTGGACTCAGGATCTTGATTTTGAGAACCCCATTTATGTTCACTTCAGAGTTCTAGATTATTGAGAGCAGTGACTCCCGGACTTTTGGATTTAACAGGCCATTAAAATTTCAAAAGTAATAAGGACATGTTTGTAAATAGGCAGGAAGTATGGAAAATCGATACGAAGCTTCATTTTTTTTTTATTTGTTGAGACAGTAAAATAAAGTTCTATTATTATAATTGTACAAATCTATAGCTATACTAATAAAGGGTAATATGCTAATTAGACCGGACAACCTTTCGGATGTCCTTCCTGACAAAGCCTAGCCCGGGCGAAGCTGCCCGTCCGCGGTCCCGGGCACCTGTGGCAGTGGCCCAGGCAAAGCTGGCCGCCCATAGTCCCGTGCAGCTGCAGCTGGCCCAGGCAAAGCTGGCCCGGATCCCGGGTGCCTGCAGCTGACCAGAGAGAAAAGCCCAGGTCCCGGGTGCCTGCAGCCAGCCAGAGGAGGAGGGAATCCTGGGTCCCGGGTGAGGGGCTGAGGCAGAGGTGGTTAGAGGTGATCAGGCCAGCAGGGGAGCAATTAGGGGTGATCAGGCAGGCAGGCAGAGGTGGATAGGGGCGATCAGGCAGGCAGAGGTGGTTAGGGGTGATCAGGCAGGCAGAGGTGGATAGGGGCGATCAGGCAGGCAGAGGTGGTTAGGGGTGATCAGGCAGGCAGAGGTGGTTAGGGGTGATCAGGCAGGCAGAGGTGGTTAGGGGTGTGATCAGGCAGTCAGGCAGGCAGGCAGGCAGGCGAGCAGTTAGGAGCCAGCGGTCCCATATTGCAAGAGGCATGTACGACTGCCGGTTTAGGCTTGATCCCACAGGAGTCAGGCCTAAACTGGCAGTTGGACATCCCCCGAGGGGTCCCAGATTGGAGAGGGTGCAGAACGGGCTGAGGGACTGCTCCCCTCCACCCCGAATTTTGTGTACCAGGCCTAAGTGGCTGAATGACCAGTTGCTATGACATGCACTGACCACCAGGGGGCAGACGCTCAATGCAGGAGCTGCCCCCTGGTGGTCAGTGAACTCCCACAGCCAACCTCCCACTGCCAACCACGGTCCCTCCCCCCAGCCGGCCAACCTCCCGTGGTCCCTGCCCTCAGCTGGCCCTCTCCCCCCGACCCCCACCGATTGGCCCTGATCACAGGCCAGGCCAAGGGACCCCACCTGTGCATGAATTTGTGCACCGAGCCTCTAGTATAATTGTAATAGTTAATGCTATAGAGAGTGCTTGCTTCAATGTGAGATGCACGCTACATATATAAATTATCTAATTGTCATAGCAACCCCATGGAGTAGTTATAACTATTCTCCTCATTGTGCAGATGATGAAACTGAGGCACAGAGAGACTGCATAACATGCTGCAGGTCGATCAGCTAGTGCAGATTCCAACCCAGGTAACTAGCATTCATTCTGATCCCAGCTCTGCCTTGTTGTTTCATTGCTGCACATTAAAGGCTATTTGAATAAGCCAGAAGTTTCAAGTATGTCATGTCAGAGGAAAATCTAACTCAACACATCTAGCTTTATGAGAAACTAACTGGTATCCTTATTTTCCTCTTTATTTCTTCTTTGTGTCAGTGAAAACTTCATCACGGACTGGTATGCCCGATACTTTCCTTGGGATACAAAGAGATACGACACCGTCATAAATAACACCCAGGAAACTCACCGATTCTAAACAAAGTTTTAAAAGATAACACAGAAGATGAGTGGAGGAAATAAGGTGCTGAAGTGGCACAAAGAAGGATATGGGGGAGGGAAGCCGGCATCTATTGTCTGCAGGGTCCCCGGCTCTGGACTAGGCTCAGAATAACTTGGCCTTGAGGTGGGTCACTGCAGGTAACACAAAAGAAGGGACATGTAAAGTGAGTCAGGTCCGATGGAGGTTCACCCTGCAGACAGAGAGAGAAAGGGGATCTTCCAGGCAGAGGCACCTGCATGGGCAGAGGCACAGAGGAAGGAAGGAAGGAAGGAAGGAAGGAAGGAAGGAAGGAAGGAAGGAAGGAAGGAAGGAGGGAGGGAGGGAGGAGGGAGGGAGGGAGGGAGGGAGGGAGGGAGGGAGGGAGGGAAGGAAGGAAGGAAGGAAGGAAGGAAGGAAGGAAGGAAGGAAGGAAGGAAGGAAGGAAGGAAGGAAGGAAGGAGATGTGGGAACGCTGAGTAAATCCCAGTGGCTGGGGTGTGCACGCCATGCCCAGGGGCTTTGGGCCAAGCTTGTGTTTAGAAAGACTGCCACAAAGTTCTGTGCAGGAAAAATTCCTTGGTGTTATATCTCCCAGCCTCAGAGACTCTCCAAAGGCCAGCTGTGTGCTGGGCTCTTTAGGCCCCCCTGTAGGCACACAGCCTGCGCCTGGCACTGAGTACGTGCTCCAGTGTTTGCTGAATGAATGTGTGAAGGAGTGGATACTTTTCTTGAAGGCCTCCTCGTTCGAAATTGTGACATACAGTCAGAGATTTTGTTCTTTCCCCCACATCATGGCAGCATATGTATCAGTATCCTAAAGAGTTAAGAACTTTCTGTCTCTCTCTCAGGAAAGAGTGAATACAGGCCCAACCCTTCTACAGAGATTGCCACA